AAGTAAAGGCTAGAGAAATAAAGGTAAAAATTCCCACAGTAATAATCCTTGGGTATCTGGAAGATGAACAACTTTATTTCAGGGGTTTGTTTGTGTTTTTCTTTTTCTTTACTTAATGTTTTATCCTCTGAGTTTAAAGCCAATATAAGCTTGAAAAATACAATAATATTAGTGAATTTGTACTCAGCTCTGAGGCAGCTCTGTGTCTGTTACAGTTCCCAGAATGTCCTATAGCTTCCCTCAGTGTCCCTCTGACTCAACTCGATACACCAAGACACTCCACATGCCTGGTCAGTATCTGTCTCCATCCGTCTCCATCTTGTCTTCTATCCCTTCATCCTCACATCCACTTCCCCAAGATCTCCAGGTCCCTTAAATTCTGCTTCCCTCCTTCTTTAACAAGCAAATGTCATCAGACCTCTTCACAGGAAGCTCCAGTTTGACCTAACTTGAAGCTAAGCAAGACATATGAGCCAACTCATGTTGAAATTCACATTCCTATGTAGACTTTATATCCATCGCTATATTCCAGTGTAAATAAAAAGGAAAATACAGAAAAATAATGTGAGAGTTAATGTTAAAATGATAGAGAGAGAGAGAGAGAGAGAGAGAGATTAAGTGAGGAAAGAAGATGATCTTTATAGTCCCCATTTGTGAAACTGAGCAAAGGAGAATGTGGTCCTTAGTTCTTCACAATCTGATGATGTGACACAAGCATCCAGCAACCAAAGATGCACATGGCTGGAAAGGATGGTTTCCAAGAGGTCCTAGCAGTAACATTATAACCCTGGGGGTTAGGCCCAATGACAGGAACACTTACAAGTACAGAGACACTGAAACCTCCTGCTGACTCTCCAAAGATAGTCACAGAGCCTGGGTTGCCCCCAAAGTTGGCAATGTTGTCCTGGACCCAGCGCAGTGCAGCCACCTGGTCCAAGTGACCCCAGTTACCTCGGCTGTGTTCATCCCCTGTGCTGTAAGAGAGCAGGGTAGAGTGCGGGCAGGGGCAAAGATGTCGTACAAAAGCCTGCAAAGCTCTCAAGACCTCAGATGGGTTGGAGGTCCTCAGCAAACCTTCCAGAATCAGGCTGGGGTGTGTATTCCTGACATAGCAGTCTTTACCACTTTCTCATCCTTAAATCATTGTTTTATGTGGAGATGTAGACTTATCTTCCAGAAACTATGTACTGAGGAACCGTTAGGTATCCAACACTCATCAGAGCTAGGGCACATCTGAGAAAAAACACCAAAATTCTGATGACACTCAGCTCACACTGCAGACCACAAGCCAGCAGATGAAAAGAGAATATAATTCCAGCTAGTAGAAAAAGACAATGAGTAGGCACCGTGGCAAATATGGGCCTGTGCGGTGGTGTTTTAGTTTCATGACTGGGAAAGGCCTGTTTGAGGTGATGGTTTTGGTGGAGACCTGAATTCAATGAGCACATCCAGAGTGGAATTTCATTTAGGACAAGCAGCAGGTGCAAAGACCCCATGGCTGTGGGGAAAATGTATAAGATGCTGTGAGATGCAGGCAAAGCAGATGCCATGAGTCCTGGTGAGGGCTTCTTTGTCATTGTAAGTAACATGGGAACACCACACAGAAGCATGATGGGACTCTATATCTTACAGAACAATCTGGCTCCTGAGTGGAATAGCCATAGTATTAAAATAGCAGGTTTATAACAAATGGTTCCAACAATTATCCATAACAGAGACTTAGGGCTTTGAATATGGGTATACCAAACAGTATAAGTTGGATGTAATTTGCTCACCAACAACTCAGTGCTAGGGTCCTTGTCTCTACCGTGACAGTATTTAATAGAGAACTTGTAAAAGGTGAGGTTGAATGCAAGGTGCTGGGTGTACACTTCCCAGAAGGGATCTGTGTGGTACTTACAGGGCCCTGGCTAGTTCCTCCAGAGGGTGCTTTGTTCTCTCTCTCTCTCTCTCTCTCTCTCTCTCTCTCTCTCTCTCTCTCTCTCTTTCTTTCTCCCTCTCTCTCTCAAGATTATACTGACTGTTGGCTTCCTGCCTTGTCATGTGATCTCTTTTTTATGTACAAATTCGATTTCTGTTCTTTTATCATGTTTACCAGCCAAAGGCCCTCATCCAAAGGCCAGTGATGAAACCACCTAATGTTTGACTTTTCATTCTCTCAGACTCCATACCAAATAAAACTGTTTGTTTTATCCAATCTTACCTGAAGAATCCCCAGATGCCCAGGCGGTACTGAATGGTCACCACCACCACATTTTCATGGGCAGAGAGGGCCAGCCCATCATAGGTTGATGCTCCGCCCACCAGCAGTCCACCTCCATGGATCCACACCATCACCTAGACAAGGACACAATCCAACCCTGCAGCCCACAGTCACAGTACAGTGAGTCAGCTGCTGGGGCTGTTGGGACAGAGTTAAGTTATTGGTAGCAGGATTAGGAAGACTGCAGAGGTTGATGGGTTTAGCCACCAACTTCTGAGCTATGATCAGTAAGTGCATCACCCAAACCACACCAGCACCCAGCAAGGGTAAAAGGCATTCTCTTTCACGGTTCTCCAAGCTCAGGCCCAGAGTGCAGTGCAGCCCAATACCCCTGCCTTTCTCGTTTCTCATATCCTTCCAAGTCTCTTCAAATCGAGAACATCATCAAGGGAAAAAGTCAGGGATATGGGGTTTCACGCACAATCCTATCACCCTACACCTGGATGATTCAAGCATCTGAACTTGAAGAAGGGCAGCCCTGTTTCAGAGTCACCTCATCTTAGTTAACTCTTCAGTGGTGAATTAAACTTCCCTATGAGTAAGCGATTATCTGAGGAGGCACACCCTGCCCTTCTGGTGCTCCTTCCTAATGTGCCTCCTCTGCACACCAAAATCCTCCCACCCTGCTAAGCCCCTCTCATGTCCACTTCCTCCAGATGTCTTGGGTCATTTGGCTAGCATTATCTCAGAATCTACTACGTACGAGGATCTGATAAGACCTGAGAATGAGAGGGGTTACAGTAATTCACAATTTATGTTTTTTATTTAAAGTGTACATAGATCGGGGAAGAAATAAGAAATTAAAAGAATACTGTGATAATCTTGCTAGTAAAAATAATAATGCATATATGAATCCAGAAGTGTTCTAAGGAATAGAAATAACCTACCCATGTGGTAGGTAAAATATTTTCCTATGTAACAGGTAGGAAACAAAGCACTTGGTTGAAATACCACAGAAAGCAAGAGGTGGATCCACGGCAAAGCCTGATCCAGGCTATCTGGCTTCAGCACCCGTTTGCTGAGCTGCCCAACTGTAGATCATGGCTCTAGTGCAGTGATCTGCTGTTGGGGCAGGAGTCAGATCTGCCCAGAGCTCTGATCAGTGTGTTAGTGCAGTGGCGGTGGTGTGCACTCAACCAGGACTGAGGTATACTTTGACAGTCACCTCTCAACCCTCACATTTTGTAATGAATCTCATTTGAGTGAACAAGGCTGATAAGATAAGAAATTGTCCAGATCTCTCATCTTCTCAAGGACAGACTCAGGATTTAAATATGGACCCCGCAACTTGTGTGCACAACTGGAGGGTCTCCTGGTGCCATGCCTTCAAGCTCCTGTGTCCTCCCCCCTCTGGGATCTTAGCCCAAATCCACAACTCTCTCTTCTACTCAGGCTTCATGAGAGGGGGCTACTAGGAAACAGACTAGATGCTGGCCTATTACAAACCAGGGATCACTTTTTTCTCCATCCTGTGACCCAAACTTGACAGCCTACCCCATCCATGTCCTTTCCTTCTATGTGAAATGCTGACTCACTGGGTCAGGAGACTGTGCCAAAGGCAAATTGAAAGGGAAATGAACTACAGTGAAATCCCAGAGTGCTGCCCAAAGGCATGAAAAGTGCTTAATTATGAGAGCGTCCCAGAGTCCTCCCGCCTCACTGCTTCATGGGACAGTGAAAGTCTTCACCTGGCAGTAGAAGTTATCACAGCTGGCCTGAGGATAAAGGCACCACACATCCTAATCCTCTGTAAAAGCACAGATGAGAAGCTCAGGAGAGGGAGCGTGGGCTGCACCCCTCCACATGCTCTCCCTTTCCCGCCAGAGCTTCCATTTCCCTATCTGCACACGAAGTGTTAGGTTACTGAATGTCCTCTAAAATTCCTCCCAGTTGTAACTTTATTGAAAATTATGTCTCAGCCTCTCTGGAGTTCAGATTTTTAATCAACTAATGAAAACTAATCATTCCCTTCCTTCACTAATGTGGAAAAAACTTGGAAAATTAAGACGTACGTTGCAGATGCATAGCAATCTCTACTGAAATCTGATGTCTCTGGAAAGATCTGAGGTGAACACTGAACGGAGCTCTGGTTCCTGCCTCCCACACCCAACTGCGTTCCTCCCCTTCCAATTGCACAGAAGATCTGGAGGCCGGAACTCACACGTTTGGCCCAATGGTCCAGCTACTTACTGGCAATTGACTGTTCTTTGTCAAGTCAGCAGGAGTGTAAATATTTAGGTAGAGACAGTCTTCAGAAAACTTGAGAGGAATGTTCTCCTTTCTGTTGGTAAAAAGGTCTGAGAGCGCCTGTCCTCCGATTGCATCTTGGGAGCACCTGGTGGGGAGAAGACACCTGAAGTTCCACTGATATATCACCCTGGGCCTTAACCTTGCTGACAGGTTTGAGTCCTTAACTAAAGTTACTCTCATTTGACTGGAGTCATTGCCGTTGGGAAGGGTGCCTTGGGTTCCTCGTGGGACTGCAGAGACTCCAGAGTCTCCCAACCATGCAGAGGGAGGACTTGGCGCCTCTTCTCTGTTGGGATGCCCCACATCATGGAGAGAGGTGCACTACCTAGACAGGGCCCTGCACACTGATAGGTTTGTTGAGTGGGTTATGGGGTGATTAAACTTCTACAAGTCACTCTGCTCTGGTCCTTGGGAATCTTCCATCAACTAGGAGAAAAACCGCAGTGACAGGCAGCCTGGTATAGGATAGGGGTGGCATCTTTTGGTGACACTATAGAAAAACATTATTCTGGTCCTACCTCTGCCACAGATGTACTGAGTGGTCTTGGCTGAATTCATTGCCTCTTCTGAGTCCAACCTGCCAAGTCCACGTGAGGTGAATACTGTCTCTATGGGCCTTGCCACCTGGCCTGCTAAGCTTGTCATTTTCCTGTCCCATCCATCATTGTTGGCCGCCCTGATAAAGGGTCTCAAAAGCCCAATGTAGAGAGGAATTGGTAGCGATAACTGAGTCCTGCCAGAGTTTCAGGTACTGACCAACTTCTTGTACATAAAGTTATTTAAGACTCACATCAGCTCCAAGTGTCTATTATTTTCCTCATTTTACAGATGAGGAATCAGAGGCACAGAGAGGTTAGAGGACACACAGGCAGGAAAAGCCATACTATGTGTTCTTAGATTTCCAAACACAGTATAAGCAATAATATCAGGTCTCAATGGTCCTGAGGGCAGGTACCCTGCCTCCAATGTGTAAAAGAGGAACTGGGGGCTCTCAGGTGCCAACATCACAGAGCTGTCAAATTCCACAGGTAGAAGAACAAAGATGGCTTCCATATCTCCAGCCTACATCACTGAGAACAAGTGGCACAATTCATAAAAATATAAATCAAATGTCAAGTGGGGGAAGAAGAGTTCGATTTAATTAGCATTTAAATTTTTCAGATAAAGAACCAAACCATGTTTATTATTGCTGCGATATCATTTTGCTTATCCAACACATACAAATTCTTTTAGTAAATCCAAGCATGGGGAAAGGTTCACTACCTAAAGATTTTTGTGTTTGCATGGAAGGAGTGTATGTAGTCTAAATGTTTCCGGATAAAAATTAAATCAAATTTATACTCTTTGACAAAAAATGTCACTTATTGGAACTTATACTAAAACATTCTTCATTGTATGTAATTACTTAGTTACAACAAATTTATTACAATGTTGTTATAAGGCCCAGAACATCAAGATAACTTAAAGAACCCCCAAGAAAGATTGGACACATAAATTATAGTTCCAAAGCCAATTAATGTAGCTAGTATATGTTGGGATGATATGTTTATGGCACATAATAACAATGATGTTATACATGTGCAAGGCGTTCACCTGAATGCTCTGCATTTATGATCCCTGGATAAAGGAGTAGGCATGAACAGATAAGACTGAAAACAGAATCTCAAATACTAATAACACTTCTCTCTTAGTAGTTGATCGTACATAATTTTAGCTTGCCTTTGCTCTTGTGTATTTCTTAACTTTTATGAAATGTGTGTGTTTTACACTTGCAATCAGAATGTAAAAATATAAAATATTATTTTTGGAGGAAAAGAATGGAATGGTAAGAAGGTAGCCAAGAATAGGATCTTGGAGACTCTCAGAATAAAGTTGCTAAGGAGGCAAACACTATGTGAATGGACCTTTTTATGTTTCTGGAGTTCACTAAGTATGGCTACAAGGCCATCTAAAATCCTTGGGCTTGTTCACTTAGCTGGCAAGATGGACTGGGGGACCCAGCTATTGCTTAGCTTGTGATTAGGTAGCTAGACACACATGGGAGTGACCTTTCAAGTCACCCTACTATTCCCCAAGCACACTACCTCATTCACTCCACTCCCAAGTAATCCCAAGGTTCAAGACAGGAGAATGTAACATCTGATCTCTCATCTCCCTTGTCTTATCAATTACTTATTTCCAAAACCTTAGTATATTCTAATGCTCTATGTTCTTTCTATTCTAATCAGCATATTGGTAAATGTCTCTGTCTCCTCTTGTTACAACAGATAGTTCATCAAGGAAGGAATCTTTTTGTTCCCAAGTGGTTTCTGATGACCTAGAGCATGGGTAGCTCATAAGCACTCAGTAAGCACGTGCTGAATAAATGGCTCTAGAAAGCAATGGCGGGTCGAGAATGCCTTCGAGATCCTACACTGCTCTTATGGGTACCAGTAAGTGCTGTTAACAAAGCCCATTAGAGGATTGCCATTCCTCCTCCCTGTATCACTTTGATATAGACATCTCCACTTAAAGAAGCCCAAGCTCACCCAATAGCTTACATAGGAGGGTAGGAAGTGGTATCCTTCACAAAGCTCCATGGCTCTGCTGGCTGTGGTGGAGCAAACCTCAGGGATCCAAGAGGAGGTTTGGCAAAGGGGACGCCCAGGAAAACAGCCACAGGCTGTGTGAATCCTTCTAGATTGACATACTTCCCCAGGACTTTGCCATAAATAGTGTTCACCACGGGTGGTGAGGACGAGTGCCCTGTTGGACAAGAGAAAATGAGGAGACATCAGACGGGAAAGACCAGCCTGCATTCCAGGTGGGTTTCATCACTGTGGGCTGGTGGTATTGGTAAGTCCCTGAACTTTTCTGGACCTTATTTGCTTCTGATATAAAATTTGATTTGAGAAATTGTCCTTATCTCAACAGAACAATTGAAAACAAAACTGTATGGGAGGTGAGAATATTCTAGCCTAAGTTGCTGCAGAAAGAAAGGTTCTGAGAATGAACACAAGCTTTGGTTTTCCTCTGGAAATATTCATCCATTAGGATGTTTGTGCTGAGTTGCATGCTGGGTGAGATGATGAACAGGAGGTGGCCTCTGATCTCAGGAGGGCTGGCCTTGTAGGGAGAAGGGCAACAGACATATTTATCCTAATGTTGAGATGCAAGAGCGTGTGGCCTGGGAGAGGACCAAGAAATGGATACAGCATTTGGGGGAGTGAGTGAGGCATTTTGATTGGTTGCAGAAGAGCTGTGACTCACCCCACAGGGGTGAGTGAATGAGGAAAAATGAAACAGTTGGGGATGATAGAGCTGGAATGAGAGACAATACCGTGACTTCCAAAGAGCACAGCACAGATCCTGGTAGAGAAGGGTGAGTGGCCTATGACTGCTATCAGGAGGAGTTTATGGGGGAAAAGGTAATCCTGGATTGGCAGGTGCATGACACTGAAGGTCTGACTTAAGGATTGGGTTTTGTTTAGTGGACAAATAAGCATCAGGAACAGTTCTGTGGTAAAAGACACAACAAGCTTCTGGAATATCCTTATGGGTCTGAGCAGAGTGTTTCAGAAAGGACAGACTGGACATCAAGCCCTTGTCTGCTCCACTAGCTTCATTCCTGTGGAGTAGACAGCTCCTCCTCATCTCTCTGTAGCTCCCTCTGTTGTCCTGATTCTACCCATTGTGGGATGTGAGTCAACCAAACCAGTTCTTTAAATGGCAGGAGGACTTTCAGACACCTGGTCATGGCCACCCCAGATGCCTTCTTCTGTCAGACTTCAGTCCTTAGCTTGTCAGAACATTCCCAACTGGACATGATTCCATTCTCTCATTCCCCAGTTGATTCCCTTTGGATATAAAGAAGATATAATCTTCCTCAAAGTGTATGGCCAGAAAAAAAGGAAAGTTCCAGATTAGGTGCAACAGGAAAATAACCATCAGAACTGGAAACTTCCACATTTCATAGTACCGAAAGAAGGTCCATATTGTGAAATTTTTGTTGTTTATGTAGTCATTTCCAGTTACTACAAACAACAACAAGATGATCTTTCTGGTAGAAATGTATAGACAGTCTCCAATTAAGGATATTGTGAAGTCCATGGAGATGGGGGTAAAAGAGAGTTCAAAGAGGAGAAGGAGGATAAAGTTTGAGCAGAAATTGCTTTAGCTCACCAATGGCTTTCAACCCAGTAGTGAGTAGAAGCCAGATTGGCCTGAGTTAGATGCCTTTGGATCAAGTGTATAATCAAGAATGGTGCAAACAGCAGTAACCACTCATGTAATATGGTATGTGCACTTACTGAGCAGTTACTGTGTACCCAGCATGCATTCTAGTCCCTTTATTTTCTAGGTGCCTGTTAATATGCCCACTTAACAGATGATCAAGCAGAATTCCTAAACATCATGAATAGACTTCCTAAAGATGAAAATCATGTGACACCACCAGGGTAACCAGCAGAAAAGTTATGCTACACTCCAAATTTCCATCCTTTCTTACTCTGTCTGTTCCGGACCTCTCATTGTCACACAGGCAGAAGATAAACTCAGACAAGGCTTTCAAGGTTCTGATGCTTAAGCACTGGGCTGGATCTTGAGCATGATTTTCAGATGACCCTGCAGGATTACATGTCCCTGAGTCCCTCAACTTCCCCTCTGTGTAGTGGCACAGATGTTTTACCAGTCCCCTCATTTCACCTCAGTACTAATCATGAATTCTACTTTCTGTCGTGCTGCTTTGGTTCATAGATTTCTACAGATCCGGGGGGGTGGGGGATTTTAACTCCCAAGGTCCAACTAATCCAGGGTCCATACCCCAGCTTCCTATTTTATCTAGGTCTTTTTCCTGGTCATTTCTATCTGTCCTGATCACCAACAGCTAGATACATGCACACACATAAAAAAAAAAAAAAAACCCACAGAACAAACAAAACACACACTTTTTCCGGGGCCTTTTTATCCGTCCTGATCCCCAACAGCTAGATACATGCACACCCAAAAAAAAAAAAAAAAAAAACCCACAGAACAAACAAAACACACATAAAGCAACAACCCCCCTGGGTTCAGTCTTTATAGCCCCTAAACCTCCTAAAGGACTCCACCTAGCCAACCATAAAGCCACCTGACCCCTCCTCTCTTGTTTCCAGGAGAAACCACAGCAAAGCCCCTTGCCCCTGTCCCTCCTCTACCTTGTCCCCCTAAGTGAGTAACCCCAGTACTTTTCCTTCTGCCTTATTCAAATAACATGCCCCCTCCTCTTGTAGAGTATGAGTATCAAATCATCTTTCCAATGGTCTTATCTGACCATGTCAAATCTTCTATTGACACACTCCATTTTCAGTTCTCCCTTTGCATCTCCTTTTACGACCTCGGCTGTAGGCTGCAAGCCATCATAAGTGCTGTCGAAGCAACTACCCATTTCATCCTTTGAAGGCGCACTTGTCATCTTTGCTTTAGAGAAGGCACTACAAAATGAAGTACCTTGCCTATGGACACATAACTGAATTGCTGAATTGGGTGTGAGACCTGCATCTGTCTCCTGAGTTTATGCTTTTAATATTTTGCTCAGCCTCAGTCTGCCTGGATCTGGACTAAGAATCACAGGGAAACAAACAAAGCTTTCTGTAACCCTCCCACACCAGTTGCCTGCAGGTAGGTCTCCAGGAGTTCTTTCTTTCCTGTGTCTCTGTGAGACTAAGACGATCAGGGTTTGATGCATCGCTCCCAAATGCAGAAAGCAAAATTCACTGAAAGCAAAATTATTCTTGTCTTGTACACATCTTTACCCATTTGTTCCCAGAACAAAGACTGCAAAATGTAATCCCATATGTTTGTAATTAGAACTTACCCCGCGCTGTGAAAGCAGCAAGAGAAGCCCAGATCAGAGCATAAAGCCACATCTTAGTAGGACGAGGGCTCTGGAGGTCAGTGAAGCATCTGCTGTTCCAGCAGTGTTTCTGCCTTGGACTTGGAGTCTTGCCTCCTGAAGTCTTGCTCAACCAGCTCAGTTGTGTAATCTAAGATGTCAGAAAACCTCTCCTCCTCTAAAAAGCTCCTTAGGTACCTATGGGGACCGCCAAAGCACGCCCACTAAGTAATTACCCTGTTACGGAGCAGCTGCTGCTCAGTGCTCAGATTACCCATTCAACCACTTCTTATGTAAGCTTCTGGCTTTTGCACCCTCACCCCAGTGTACTTTTCAAAGGCCAGTACCAGCAGGCAGATGGTTGTGGGCGGGAGGAAGATTGGGTTCGGGGTCCTCATAGGAAGCTGTAATATTTTAGAGCACTACACGCTCCACAGGTGCTCAGCTAGGAAGTTAAGACACATTTCTCAGCTCCCCAGGACTGGTATTTCCTCGAAATATATGCTTTCAAATTTGGAAGGAATTGTTCTCTTTTTCGGCCTTCTCATGATTCCTAAATTTTTTTTGCAATATTCTTGCCAAATGGCCTGGCCTGCTGCTGTACACATTCAGAGTCAAGGAACTCAGTACCTTTCAGAGCAAGGACTTTTGGACAGAATGCTCTTACAGTAAATGAGAATGCCACTGACCACAATCCTTTGCTCTAATCATACATCTATACACTTATTCATGAATTCTTCAAACATTTACCAAAATGCTTAACCTCTCCTTCCACAAGCATGCACAATAACAGGGTGTGGGGGTGGGGGTGGGGGGGTAAGCATAGCTCCAGAACTGCTGGCTCCAACTAGTTGTGTGAGTTTAGCCTTTTCATGTTCCCACGCATGATTACCTCTTTCTGTCCCCTCATTTTGCATTTAGTTGTTACTCATTTCATTTCTTAAACCCTCCACATGCAGCATTAGGCATTTGTGTTTCCATTTTCATTTGATTATTAGACTCTTTAACATTCTAAAAACTAAATCTGGGACTCATTGAATCAGTGACAGCTTTGGGGGTTTTTGTAGTCATTTTGTCATGAGACCTGGTCCTACATGCAAGCAACCATGTCTAAGGGGCCTGCAGTTGGCATTGCTCTTTATGCCACCTACTTGTGTATGAGTGTCTTCCAGCATGGGAAAGTAGAAATAATTGCCAATGGCCACAGAAATGGCACCATACCAAGCTATTTTGCCTTTACTGACACAGAATGACTGACTGGTGATGCTGCTAAGAATCAGGTTGCCATGAACATGAACACAGTGTTTGATTCCAATTGTCTAATTGGATGCAGGTTTGATGATACTGTTGCTTAGTCTGATTTGAAACACTGGCCCTTCATGGTGAGAAATGATGCAGACAGGCACAAGTAGTATTCAGGGGAGACAAAAAGTTTATATCCAGAAAAGGTGTCCTCTCTGGTTCTAATGAAAGTGAAGGCAGGCACGGAAGCCTACCTTGGGAAGGCTGTTATCAATGCCATGGTCACAGTGCCAGCTTCCTTCAGCGGCAAAGCAACCAAAGAACCTTTGCTGGCCTCAGCGTACTTAGGATTATCAGTGAACCAACTGCTGATTTTATTTTGGAGGTGGCAATTTTGATGTGTCAAACATCACTATTGAGGATAGACTATTTGAGGTCAAATCCACAGCTATAGACACCTATTTAGGTAGAGAAGCCTTGAGAACCAGATGGCCAACCATTTTTTTTTTGTCAAGTTTAAGCATAAGCCTAAGAAAGACATTAGTGAGAACAAAAGAGCTGTCCATTGTCTCTGTACTACTTGTGAATGAGCTAAGTGCACCCCCTCTTCTAACACCCAGGCCAGTACTGAGATTGATTCTCTATACCAGGGAATCAACTTTTACGCCTCCGTTATTTATGCTTGATTTGAAGAACAGAATGCTGACCTGTTCTGAGGCACTCTACACCCTGTAGAAAAAGACTTTCAAGATGCCACACTAGACAAGTCATAGATCCATGGTATTGTCCTGGTGGGGGATCCACCCATATCCTCAAGATTCAGAAACTTCTGCAGGACTTATTTAATGGAAAAGAACTAATTAAGAGCATTAACTCCAATGAGGCTATTGCTATGGCACAGTTGTCCAGGACTGTCTGCAGACAAGTCTGAAAATGCTCAAGATTTGCTGCTCTTCAATGTCACTCCTCTTTCTCTTGGTATTGAAACTGCTGATGGAGTCATGACTATCCTTATTAAGTGAAATAATACCATTCCTATCGTGGAGACATAAACCTTTACTGCCTACCCTGACAGCCAGCCTGGTGTACATACTCATTCAGGTATGTAAAGCTGAAAAAGCCATGACCAAGGATAACAACCTGCTTGGGAAGTTTGAACCCAGGGCTTCTCTCCTGCTCCCTGAGGTTCTCCTCAGATAGAAGTCATGTTTTATATTGATGCCAATGTTATCCTCAGTGTTTCTGCTGTAGATGAGAGTACAGGAATAGAGAACAAGATGACCATCACCAATGACAAAGCTGCTTGAGCAAGGGGAATACTGAGTGCAATTGAGCGCACGGTCCAGGAAGCTGAGAAGGACAAAGCTGAAGATGAGAAGCAGGGAGACAAAGTATCAACCCAGAACTCACTAGAGCCCCAAGCATCTGACGTGAAAACAACAGTTAGAGATGAGAAGCAAACAGAAGAGTCTTGATCAATGCAGTAAAACCATCAGCCGGCTGAATAAGAATCAGACTGTTGAGAAGTAAGAACTTGAAAAACAGCAGAAAGAACTGGAGGAAGTCTGCAACTAAGCTATACCGGAGTGCTGGTGGCGTGCTGGGAAGAAGGCCTGGGGGCCTCCTAGGTGGAGGAACTCCTCCCTCTGGTGGTCCTTCTTCAGGGCCCACCATCGAAGAGGCCAGTTAGGTCAATCCAAGTAGAGATGTAGTATTGTTTCACAATAAAATGTTTGAAAGACTTAAATTTAGCAAGTTTTGTGGCAATTTTGAGCTTGAGCTGCTACAATAAGTTACCAGGCATTCTTAATACTTGGATATGGAATATGTTCACAGGAAGAGGAAATAACATTGCATTTAACAAGCACTGTAAGTGGAATAGGCAATGTCTTAAATAAAACTGTTTTTTAGACTTTTTTTTATTTATTACTTTTATTTTATGTGTATAGATGTATTGCCTGCATGTGTGTAAGTGCACCCATGTCATGTAATGTCCGTGGAGGACAGAAGAAGGTGTCGGATCCCCTGTAACTGGAGTTACAGACAGTTGTTAGCTGCCATGAAGGTACTGGGATTCAAACCCAGGTCTTCTGCAAGAACAGCCAGTGTTCCTAACCATGGAGCCATCTCTCCAGCAAATAAAACTATTTAAAAATAGCAAAATTTATACCTCTTAAATGGATCCATTATGGAAAAAGTTGCATGAACTGATAAAATAATGCATCTTCCGCAGCTTTTGGATGGACTATTCTATAAATTTAACTCCGTTTGATGCATATTTGGTTCTTTTACTGTAGACATTTGTTCCATAAAATGTCCTCTTACAACTACTTTTGTTCTATCCCAGGGGTCCTGATGTGGATTTCCACATTTGTTTCCTTTTAGGAACTTTGTAACCCACTCCTTTCTTCCCTGATTTCTTCTACTGTTCAGTGCAATGTAAATTGTTCAGTCCACTTTTTTCACATGTTGCATTTTCTGCTGTTGATTTCTAGAGCCATTCAATTATAATATGATAAGATAGAAGAAATTATCTTAATCTACTCATACTTAGTAAGATTCACTTTCTTTCCTAAATATGACATATTTAAGAAGACTATTCCATAAACTTCTCAAATGGATGTTTATTTTGCATCTGCTTGATGGAATACTCTCAATATGAGTATCTTAAGTCCATATGAAGTATGGGGTAATTTAATTCTGCTGTTTCTTTGTTGATGATTTTTCTATTGGTAAGAGTGACGCCCCAACATTCTGTGAACATATATTTTCAATAATTATATTTTCTTGATGGATTTCTGTCTCTATCAGCATGCAGTAACTTTTGTCTCTTCTGATTCATTTTGGCTTGAAGTCTGTTGAGTTAGATGTGAGCATAAATTCTATCATTTGTTTTCAGATTCTTTTTGTTTGGAAGAATACTTCTTGTTCTTTGCTTTTATTATTTATTTTTTAATTAGAATTGTATTGAATTTTTGTGTATTTCATACAGAACATCTTCATCATCTTTACACTCCCTTCCCCATTGGCCCCCTCCTATAGCCCACCCCACTGTAGTTCAAACATTCTGTCATTTGTGTTAAGGGCTATTCTGTCAAGTTAGTGTCCCCAAACATCCCAGTGCAAGTTGATCCACTGAGGTCTAGTCAGCCTATCTAGAGTCCTTCCCTTTAAGAAGATCAGCTCTTCCTCGCCCAGCAGTAATTAGCTGCCAATAATTCTTTAGCTAAGATTGGGGCCTGCTGTCCATTTCCACAGTTCTATGCTGGGTTTTTGTCTGCTTGAGTTTGCATGGGTCTTGTGCACCTGACGCCATTGCTGTAGGCTTACATGAGAAGGGTCCCAGGAGTGTGTAGGACTCTATTTCCATGTGGTCATGTACCTCCTCCCTGGCTCTTACAATCTTTCCATCCACAATGGTCTCTGAGCCCTGGGTGGGTGGATTTTAATATAGGAGTCCTGTCCAAGGACCCGCACTCTGTAGACTCTTATTTTCTTCATTTTGGGCATTTGTGGCCTTTTGCGTTCCTGGCCCTCTGTTGCATGAGGGAGCTTCATTGATGAGAACTGAAAGATGCGTTAATGTTCTCTTCATCCCTTGTTCTATGTTCCGTGAGACTTAGGTGTAGAGGTTGCATTGTAGATGTGCCACTTACACTTACTTGGGCAATTCACAGAAAATTTCTGTGTGTGACCAGTTGTGGGGTTCTGTAATCATCCCTGTCTCTTGAAAAAGAAGCTTCTTTGATGAGTCGTGACTAGGATACTTGTCTGTAAATTTAAGGATCCATATTTTGCAAATAGTAAGAGATTACATTTGTCTTGGGGTTTTCTCTAAGTTCTGTGACCTCTCCAGCTATGTGTACTTGGCTATGTTTATGATACCATACATGAGTTTCCTCCCATTGAGTGGACTTTAAGTCCAATTAGGTAGCTTTTGATTATCCCCAAGATAAAAGTGCACCAATGTCATTTTCTGTGCTGGTCATTGTGGTTTTTA